GTGAACTGGTTGTACTTTTTAGGTGGAAACGATGCCATTTTTCCTTTATTCTCCCCTCTGAAAGACCAGGAGGCAATTGGAGGATCCTCAAATACCAGGGAGAAAGCCGCTAGCAGAAGATGTAGTATGGTGGAGGGGAAGATCAAGGCAAACGCCTTGGGAGTGGGTGAGAATTGCTACCTCATATTGGGTCTCCTGACCTGTGAAGACCCTTATCTAGGCTCCTCTGGACATGTCCTGTGTCCAGGTTCATCTAGAAAAGAATTGGTTGCATAGCATCTTCAGGATGAGGCTGGGAGATGATGAGTTCCAGTGGGAACGCTCCTGGTAGGATCAGTAGGTCTCTTGGGGAGATTACATCCGGATGTTTAGATTTTGGGGGAAATGTGAAAGCTTATGGGAAAAGGACGATTTTCTTCCGGGCAGTGGCAGTTCCTTATTTCCTATGAGGAAGGAGTTTATAGCCACACTGACTGAAAAGTGTGAGAATTCAAGCGCTTGAAAATTCGCCTGCTTTGCATTTCCCGAAAGAGAGAAAACGTCAGGGATCCATTTCACAGATCAAGGGTATAGGAAAGTGGAGGCAGTTTGAGAGGTTCCCTGGGGTTGGAGAGGGAGCGGACATCTGCCATCAATCCCTTCTCCTGTGCTGGAGTCTTGCAGTCCATTTTTCTCTCCGGCCGTCTTCTAACTCCTATCCCAAAATATCAAGGACATCTGACAGAGTTATTCATCAGAATCAAAGAGCGATTCCTTCAGAATTCCATCCCGCAGGAGAGGTACCGGGACCGCAGGTCTGTCGGCCCCTCTTGTAGGATCCTGAGGGTTCTGGAGGGGAGGAGAGGCTGGGAGAGAGGGGTGGCCTGGAAGAGCCCAGTCACGGAGGTTGGAAGGGCTGTTTCCTGCGTAGGAAACTGTTGGCGACCAGAATGGTTTTTACTTTATTCCTGGGACCAGCTGGATCTGCTTGGTTCTCAGCACCTAAACCGACTCCTCTCCCCATGCGCAAGGCACTGGGTGGAATGCAAGAACAACGCAGACTTTCTGCCGGCCTCAGTGGCCCACGCCTGTGATCCCAGCACTTTGGGAGGCCCAGGAGGGCGAAACGCTTGAGCTCACGAGTTCGGGACAAGCTTGGGCCACATAGCGAGACCCCTGTCTACAAAAAATACAAAATGCAAAAAATGAGGGGGGGAGGTGGTGCGCACCTGTGGTGTCAGCTACTTCAGAGGCTGAGGCCAGAGAATCGCTGGATCCCAGGAAGTCAAGGCTTTACTAAGCCTTGATGGCGCCACTGCACCAGCCTGGGCGACAGAAGGGGGAAAAAAAAGAAAGAAAAGAAAAAGACAACAGAGCCAGGCACGGTGGCTCGCGCCGGTAATCCCAGCACTTTGGGAGGCTTAGACGGCTGAATTAAAAAAAAAAAAAAAAAAGCAAACAAACAAAAACAGACTTCCCTAAGCCACTGGGGGACAGAGTGGGTAGAGCGGGCAGCACTTTGGTGGAACCGAGCGCTCAGTTGGCCCATCGCTGCACCGCTCCTTTCCCAGCGCCGGCGGTTTCTAACGCCAATGCCACTCCTTTGTCAGCGTCAGCGGATGCTCTCCGGCGGCAATATTCTTGGCGCCAAAAGTTGTCTTAAAACAGCACAGGCATTTGCCAGGGACAGGTGATTGCTGGGTCCCAGCGCCGCTGGTTTCACAACTTAGCATTTTTCCCCCTTACCCCGCGCCCCACCCCCCGCCCACCCGCAGCAAAATCCGTGAACGGAACCTGCGGTTTCTCCGCCGCACCTTCGCCCGTTGCGTCCTGCGAAACCAGTGGATTCGGTGGGGTTACCTGGCGTTTCTTGGCACCCGCACCGCTCTGCGCTTTGTGCTGTCCCAGGCCAGTCTCGGCACCGTTAGTTGCTCCATAAAGGCGATTGTCCGTCGTGGGTAGGAAAGATCGTCCGTCTGCTATTGAAAGACGGTTTTTCAGAAGTTTCCAGTAGAGCCCAACTGGCGGCTTCTCGATCGCAGAATCATTGGTTCCGCGGAGTGGCAGCGCGTGTTTCTCTGTGGCATCCCCACGGGTGTCGTCGAAATCGCACTGTGTGTTTGTCTGGCATCACCGCGATGTGGATAACGTTCTTCAGTGGCTGCGCGGTTTCCTTCACCGAGTTGCTAGTTTTGATCCGCGCTTTCTTCCAGCGAGCGGACCAGACACTTTTCTGCTGAGCTGTGCACAGTTTCTTCGGCTCCGTGAGTTGCTTTCTCCATCCAAGGCCCTAGTGCCGGCGTCACGGTCGCAGCACCTGGCGTTCCTATTGGCCCTTTCGCCAGTGGAGCGGAGTCGGCGGTTTTTCTGTTACAGCACTTGTTGTACGGAGTTTCTTGGTGGCCGAACCTCTCTTTTTTTCTCAGAGTCGACGGTTTCTTGGTGACAGCACCGTTGGTTGGGCCAAAACGATGTTGTCCTTGACAACCCCGCCGGCTGCCGTCAAGCACAGGCTCCCGGCACTGCCATTTCCCCGAGCCGAGGTCTCTCGTTTGCTGCTC